AGTCATTGTTATGATAATTTGTTTTAATCTTAATTAGGATTTGAGAACCTTTCCATGCATGGTCTTTTCCTATTGAGATTGCATTTTGATAAGCAATATATTTTTTTAAATGATAATAATAATAATATTTACAGTTCTTTTATAAGATAGCTAAATGGCTTATTTGGCATTTTCAGAGACATGCATTAATCAGTACAAATTTTTGGAAAGTTTGTGATAGATATAGAAAATATATAAAGTACATGATAATTTGCCATTTTATGGTAGGCCATGTATCCACTTCTTAATTTATCCAACTCTCCCTCTCTCAACCTAACAGAATGTATTGAGAAGACTGTCAAGATAGACGTGTCAACTGTGGAGATTGAAGAGAGAGGTGTAAAGGTGCGACTGACAGTTGTTGATACCCCAGGTTATGGAGATGCCATTGACAACACTGACTGGTAAGAATATTTTTTCTGTTGGGAAGAGTTATATTAAGTTATGAAATGATATGAATTTGTTTTAGATTCTGTTAGTGTTATAGGCTACAGTGTTGATATTCCTTTGTTTGAATTTGATCTGAAGGGATTAAGTACTTGTAATTTTACCTGGCTCCTTACTCTGAGTTATAAGTAAAGAATTATGATAATTGATTCACTTTTATTAGCTTATGAACGATATATATAATGTTTTGTTTTCTCTCTCTCTCTTATTAACTTGAATTCTTTCCTCAATAATCAATTTTTTTCTCAACCTCTCAATTCCAGCTTCCAGTCCATCATCAGTTATATCAATGACCAGTTTGAGCGCTACCTGCAGGATGAGTCTGGCCTCAACCGTCGCCACATTGTCGACAACAGAGTCCATTGCTGCTTCTACTTCATCAACCCTGCTGGCCATGGGTACGACTTGAGATGATTATGATAATTGTTGATGATTAAGAATATTGTATTTTATTATTTGTAGTTTCACACTTCACAAGGTCTTTTGGTGTTGGGCATTGGCTTTCCACTAAATTTTTTGCTTCATACAATATAATCTGATACTTTAGAAAAAAAAAAAAAGATGGAGAATTTATTTTTTCTATCATAGGAGAATTTCCATACAAAACTTTAAGTTTGGAAAACAAAAATGTAACTAATAAGTCCAAAACTATTATGTGGATAATAGTGTATAAAGTTTTACCCTTTGAGTAGCAAAAAAATGAAAGTGCTATTCGGAACATTGTTGCTGCTTTTGGTGTTGGTAATGACTGTAAAGAAAATTTAAGTGTAAAATGGTTTAAGGGGGCTGTCGTACTCGAGAACAAAGTTCATCATTCATGAGCGATTTTTTAATATAATATATATACATATGCGCTGATAAACACCACCAAGCTTCATATCATTTGAATAATAAACAACGGCGTTATTTAAGAAAAACGAGTGTCAAAAATCACAAAATTTGATCCATTGACCAAACTTGTTGAAAAAAATACCACATATAATCTAAAACAATACAAAAAGTCCTGATTATACGGATCTTTGATTTCTTTTTAGTTTAGTATGAATGAATTTTTTTCTAAATGCTCAGTCCTATGAACTCAAAATATGATATATGGACTTCTATTACGTGAATGGAAATATCCATAATGTAAAAAATCACAAATCTATTCAGCTTTCAAATGACCCAAACCCCATTAGAATCTCCAAACAGTTATGGAGAAATAAAAAAGAATGTTGACAAACGTATAGTTTCGAGATATCGGGCTCCGAAGTTTAAGAGACTTTTCCCTTGATTTTATTTTATTTTATTTTTTAATTTTTTTTTTTTTTCTTTTTTTTTAGAATCCTTATCTCTGCATCAATCTTGCTGCATTCTATGGCATTCACATGTTATTCTGAAATGTATCTGGTATCTGGTCCCCCCCTTTTGCAAAGTACTTATGGCAATAACTGCACATGATTGTAGAATTAGCTCTTGTCATCAGACTTTGCAATGCCTAACCTGACCATATGAGGTATTTCATAAGTATAAACAACTGCTGCAGCTGTGATTGAGATTTATTTCTTATCATATAAAGTTTATTAGATACAAAAATGACATTAGTTGTGTCCCCTTACTGTGCAATGAGGGCGTCATGGAGGTAGGAGCTATTAACATTTTGTTTCATTGAATGGCAACATCTTGTCTCCAGAGTCCCAGTCTTGGGAATCAGCTGATGGGTAAGCAGAGTTGCCAGCTAGCTACCAGAGAACACCAAAATAAATTGAAAAAAAAAAAAAAAAAAAAAAAAAAAAAAAAACAATTATGTCAATTATTTGCACTGACATGACAAAGTAAAAGTGCGATCGGAGTGCGAGCAGGGGGTGGGGGGGGCCAGATATTTAGTCATTACTCCTTTATTCGTACGTATTTAGCAGAAATATTACGTCAGTGGGTTGCCAAAGCCTACTAGATTATGCAAGATTTTTTTCAATTTTTCAAGTATTTTAAAAAATATTTGTAAAAACTCTACGGCGACGGCCTCCTTAAAAGGGACATTTATATGAAAAGCATGAGGATGCCTGAAAATCAATGTAATTTTCACAAGAATTAATTTTTGTATTGTTCACGAAGATGTGTTGTGAGTTCATATATGTCATTCATAACACATAACAAAGAAAATAATATACATACTGTATTTGCAAGTACTGTTTTCAGTACTTTATTATTAATAACACAATTTAGTGTAATAACTTGACTTGTTTTCAATATTCTGTTATTAGCAAGAATTTTTGTGCCTAGCAAACTTACTATGTATGCTTATCCAACTGCCTATCATACATTGTTTGATCTCCCATCTGCAATATGGCTGCATTACATACAGAGCAATTTATTGATAACTACATTTTAAAAAAGCTCAGCTAATACTCTGGTATTCTGTTTTATTTCAATTTGATAAAGGATTCTTTATTAGTTTTACCAGCTAGTTAATTTTTACAAGCATCTTTTTATATATATTTTATTTATGTGGCAATTTTTACAATTTTAGCATTATACAAAAGGGAGTGACTAAGACAGCAGAACAGGATGAAAGTCAAAAGACCCAGTTGTCGGGAACACTGAAAAAAATTTCTAAGGCTGAGGACTGTAGTTGCCTAATGTGTCATGAATAGTAGCTTAGAATTATGACTATGATTCCTGAATGCAGTAAAAGGGTTATGATATATTGATGGCATGAATAACACAGTAGGAGTTTCTTTGCATAAAAATTTCCATTGTCATTTCTTTAGTCTTTAGTTATCAGTGGATGTTCTTTACTCAATTATTATTTCTCGTTGTTAGGTTAAAGCCCTTGGACATCCAGTTCATGAAGCAACTCCACAACAAGGTCAATATTGTTCCCGTCATTGCTAAAGCTGATACCCTTACCAAGCAAGAGGTTGCTAAACTGAAGCGAAAGGTAAGAGTAGTGTGTAAGGATAGTGATAGTCAGGAGAGTGAGAATGGGTGGTGTTGCTGAAGAGTGAGAATTAGATTGCTAAACTGAAGTGAAAGGTAAGAGTAGTGTGTAAGGATAGTGATATTCAGGAGAGTGAGAATGGGTGTTGTGTTGCCTATATTTTACTTTAACCCCTGGATCCAGATGACGATGCGGTCACTTCAAGGAAAATCTTGGACAGTGATACAGATGACGTGAGGGAAAAGACTCTTCACAAGTGCACAAACCTTGGAGTGTGATTTGACTCATTTGGGGCTTTGAAGGGAGCTTTAATATTATTCCCATTGATAAATGAATGTGGAATGTAACGTGCATAAGCAGTGACTGGAAGAGTGCCGGGTCCAGGGAGGGCGCCATTTCCATGCTACGCACCGTATTCCTGGTGGCTGTGATTAGCGGCTCAGGTTATATTATGGAAATTTGAAAATTACAAAAAAAATGAGATATATAACACAAACAACTTTTTTTTTTTTTTCTCTCTTTTTTTTTCTTTTTCTTTCTTTTTCTTGCACTCAGCTATTTACTACATAGAGAGATGATATGGAGTCTGTGCATTAAGATAAATAATTACAATCTGGATAAAGCAAATCAAAAGACAAATATGGACATTGGAAAATGGTAATAAAGCTAAAAAAGTTTTCACAAAATAACTTTTCAAAGGGGAGGCGCAGTGTCTTGTCACCGCTCGTGGGTGTTCGTGTGCACTCACCCTACGCGCCACACGCCTGGGATGCTGGCTACTTACGTAACTATTGAACCCAGATCCAGGGGATTATTGTTTGTGTTGTGTGTTCTGGCTGTTGAGTTTTTTCATTGGGATTCTTGTCATATTGGTGATGTTTTTCAGGGTTTTAACACACCTTTCTTTTTATTTTCCTATTTTTTATTTCATTCCTTGTTCTTTGTGAAACATTGAAATCAACTAATTAATGGGCAGTGGAGCATTTAATCACATCTTACAACTTTCTTCATCATTGCAGGTATTGGACGAGATAGAAGAGAACGGAATCCACATTTATCCACTCCCAGACTGTGACACAGATGAGGAGGAGGATTATAAGGAGCAGGTGAGGAGTAGAATTTAGGATAACTCTTGTCAGATTTGTCTTATCATATTTTAACACAATGGTGAGAGCTATAGTCTTCATTCATGAATTTGTGTGTAAAAGAGAAGCTGTTAAGATATCATTGACCTTGGCCATTCCATTTCTAGGTGATGATAGAGAAAGGGTTATGGCTACTGGTATAGATTGGAAGGTGCTTCCAAAATTATTCGCTCTGTAACTGGCCCTCTCTCTCTCTGCTCTCTCTCCTGCATCTCTCCTCTGCTCATCTTCTCATCATCTCGTCTCTCGTCATCTCTCTCTCTCTCTCTCTTCATCTTCGTCGTCGTCTCGTGCATTGCTGCTAACTTCTCTCTCTCTCCCTCTCTGCTCCCTCTCTCTCTCTCATCCCTCTCCGTCCGATCGTCTGCCCTCAGTCTTCTCTCTCTCCTCTCCTCATCCTCTCCCGTCCCTCCCTCCGACCCTCTCTCTTCTGCTGCATCCCTTTCTCT